ATCCGTCCATTGCCTAAACTGATGATTGATCGACCGTCACCAATCCAGTCTCCAGTAGCTTTAGCTGGGACAGTCTTGGCTTGGTCTCGTTTTGCTCGTCACTATTGAAAAACCACAAAAAATTTTTTTTGCTTAAGTGGCCGTGACGATAGTAATAGCTATAATTAAAGTGAGGGAAATGCATGTGTACATATTTTAAAATTAATTGTGGTAATTAGGGATGAGTCAGTTTTAGTTAAGTAACAACTTTTGTTTTTATTATTATTAATATTATGAAATACAATAATCTAAATATGAAATAGTTTACAATATTTTTAATAAAATATATTGTTCCATTTAAAATTAACAAATTAAGGTGGTTTCAAAAATTTCATACCCAACGCTAGTATTAAATACCCTGTATAAAAAACAATTATTGCCTTAGGTAACAATCGGCATTGTTGAACTATCTACGGTTACAATCATAATGCATTAATGTTATTATTATAGCAAAGAATACTACTTAATTATTACTAAAATTAGAAATGCATATCAATTCAATTTACAACACAGATATGTAAAAAATACTGGGTGATCCAAATGAGAAATTTTTGTGTTAGCTGTAGAAGATATTTTAAATGAATAGCGCTAAGAAGCCTAAATTTTGCTATTAAATTGCAGTTATATCTTTTAATTTATAACAATAAATAAATAAGAAAACTTACCTTCATATAGGCAATTACTTGGTTTTAAAAAGATAACGTAAATGAGGACAAAACACTTGAAAAGCCACATTTTTAAGTCAAACTTTTGCATACTTTTACGTTCAAACTGAACATTAGTTGCTGGTAAATAACAAACAACAGACACAACTGGTTATATTAAACATCAACAGGGGAAATGAATGTTTTTAGAGAATATGGTAGGTGACTTATACATCTACAAACACACAGCAAGCAAGTACATAGAAACGTACATAAATATATGATACAGTACAGTATTGCATTAAACCTTCAAGAGAAGATTTTGTTGGCATAATTTAGTGCATTATTTCGATAATTATTAATGCGGTTGTATCCATTTCAAAATCAGTATTAAAAGCGTAAATGCATTAAATGTTATGCTACTTTCATAATATTAGATTACAGTCAGTTTGTAGTTTTGGTGATTATTTCAACATAATTTTACTGATAAGCTATAAAAGCAATAAATTAGATTAGCGTGTAATAAATCATTATAGTAAAGGCTGTTCCATTTTAAGTGATCACCAACAGTATTTTACTAGGGAAAGGTCATGGGAAAAATTGTCAAATTTAGCACATGCGCAATGGTTTACGGGTTACCTTATTAGTTTTTGGTGATCTTACCTTTTATTTTAGGAGTCAAATTTTAAGGTCTTTTTTTATAAATCTGTACAGGGTGTTTCTGAAATAAATAGCAAGCTTTGGATGTGTTAACAAGGGAATTGCATGGTGAGTAAAACAGCGTCATTAAGAGACAAAAAAATTTAAGAAAAACAACACAAGTTGTAAACCGAAGCCCGGTCCTGGTCGTGAATTGGCAACGTACAGAGAAATGGCGATAACAACTAAGCTGGTACATTGATGGAGACTGTAAACAAGGACGGTTGTGTTGCGTTTAGTACGTAAGTATCAATACGTTATTACTACGTTACTACTTTTGACGCCCGTTGCAATAATTAAATTACACCTCGATATGGTATTAAGGACACAAAGAAATGACGTGACGTAATCATTAATAAGTAAATTGATACCGTCCGGATAAGTAATTGTATCATCATAAGGTCGTCAGTACTAAGATTGGTTGGACACGCACCTCCACTCTATCATATCCTGAGCTAGTCTTCGCATTTCCCTAAAACAAGAGCAACCCACATCCTTAACTATTTGCGAACAGTAATCTAACCTAGGTCTACCTCTACCCCTCTTAATTCCTGTTTCTGCCTCTAATATGTCTCTGAGAAGGTGTCCTACCAACCTATCTCGTCTATTTTTTATTGACTTCCATTGAGTCCTTTTATCTTCTATCTTCCCATTACGTAATACAAAAGCACAACGTTAAAAGAATAAAAAATTACTCAAGGCTGGTTGTAACGTAAACATGGTTAATCACACCTAATCTAATCTAATACAAATAACAAACAGTACATAAGTACAAAAATATGAAAGAAATATAACACGGATGCTGCTAAACAGCAGCTGATTGATTACGGCGTTGCACTGTCGCATTTAACTGCGTGATTGTGCCAGGGCCGGACTGGCCCGTTCAAATACGTTTCTTTTTAAAACGGCGGACTTTCGGATCAGCAAACATTTACTTAATTTTCTTGTTTTGTAGTGACCTATCACCTCTTGCTACGTATTTCAGAAAAACTCTGTATTTACGTTCACAAGCGAAAATTACGTACATGAAATTGTATTTCTGGATGGTTTGAGTAATTTTTGGGTTAATTAAAGTAATTTAAATTTATATAGATAATTGACTCCATAAGAGTACTTTTTGTAACTTTTTTGGCTTCTTAGGCTTCTTATGATACCGGAACATCCTTAGTAGTAGTTTATATGAATCAGTGATGACAAAGGCGGTTGTAAGACACATTCTATGAGACGCCAATCCCAAAAACCGTATTATAAGACACCTGTAATCTTCTCGCTTTTAATTTTTAAACACCATTCGTATTACGCAATATCCACTTTTTTGTGCTTTTCCTAAGTGCTAATTACATACTATGCGACTTCGGCAGAAAGCTAGCTCCAGAAATTATGTAAAAGGCTGAGCGGGAACTAGAGAAATCAGCGGAGAATCTCCTCTCTAACTCAAATGCTACATCTCCGTTAAGTTCCCCTGGTTACAAACGTACCCTGCTGTACCACCCAGCTGCAAGCTGTCTACCTTGCCGTCTCGAGCCTTGACGGCACAAATAAATGATTCTAGGCCACGAACTACCGATTGTGACAATCCGTCCATTGCCTAAACTGACGATTGATCGACCGTCACCAATCCAGTCTCCAGTAGCTTTAGCTGGGACAGTCTTGGCTTGGTCTCGTTTTGCTCGTCACTATTGAAAAACCACAAAAAATTTTTTTTGCTTAAGTGGCCGTGACGATAGTAATAGCTATAATTAAAGTGAGGGAAATGCATGTGTACATATTTTAAAATTAATTGTGGTAATTAGGGATGAGTCAGTTTTAGTTAAGTAACAACTTTTGTTTTTATTATTATTAATATTATGAAATACAATAATCTAAATATATCACAATCATATGGAAACTAAATCAGGTTCCCCAGACAACACTTTCTATCCACCCAACGAAGTAGGAAACTCTAGTATAGATTGCGGGAATGTTCACAAATCCACAAGCTTTTCCCAAAGACGTAATTCCAATTATTTCGTACATGCAGTAAATGTTCTTACTACCAATTTGCAAAGGTCCTCCGGAGTCACCCTTGAAAATAATGAAACATACAACAATAATTAAAAAGGAATTTAAATCAATTAAGTTTAAAGGTAACTATTTTGAACTCAAAGTTCGGTGTTGAATTGTCAGATTATTAATTCTGTCTGCATTTTTTTTTTGAAATCTGTTTTCTTCACGTGTCTTTTGATTATTAATTTAATTTATTACTTTATAGAAAGATATACTGATGTACAAATTAATGGTTTATAACTTCATAATATCTACAAAATATGTACCACTCTCTCATCTGGTATCATCTACAGAAAAATAATAATTGACTTCCCGGCTTTTATTCTGACATTATAATCTTAAAATAAGGGAAAGAAAAGAAAATTGAATTAAACTAAGAAGTTACTGCCAACATTGATTAATTCGCTGCTTTTCAGAGCATTGACGATAGATGACGGGTCGATGTATTTATACGAAAAAACCTTTTAGTCTAATCTGCTATACAAACCAATTGTTTATAAATACGTAGCTTATACACTATGCCTGATCTGTATTCCCAAAAGTTTGAAAGGCAACTGTAGAGTCCATCTCGTGATAGTGCGCAAAGTAGGGGTGTAAAAACTAAAAAGTGACCCAGTTAATGAGTCGTCAATGATTGAGAACACTCGTCAGGTTGGCGGCCACGTTGTCTTATCATCCTTCGGTGTCGTAAGCGTCAAGCAACGAAACACATGTACCTACTCGTGACCTTCGCAACAGCTGGTACGCACATACGCTTATTGCATTAGTAGTAGTCTGTACTCCGTAGTTATCAACCGATTGGCAATGTTACCACTATTACCACAAATTAGAAAAATAAGTTTATTTTTACAATAAAAATGAATGAGGGGCGAAGACCCGTAAAGACGACAGGTCGGTACTATCAAATTGTTGTACGATTAATAGAAGACAATTTCGGTTTGAGTCATTGCACAGCAAACAGGGATTCCGCGTGATACGGTGTGTAGAATTTTTTTAAGAGTATTGATCAGACATAGTGTATAATACATCGAACTGAAAAATATAAATTAAAACAATTGTTTAAACAAAAGCTTTTAGTTTGATATTAACTATCCAACATTAAAAAGTAATTATAAAGGCAGTTGTGCAGAATTTGGAACCAACGTTATAAACTTTACTACAAATTAATATTTATGTATCAATGGTGATGAAAAAAGCTTGTTAAGCATTTATTACCCGACAAGTGTCTTTTTCTTCAGTTTGCGAACCCCAGCACACCTGGGAACGTTCTTGGATTCCATTGGGCAATTTCAATTGTAAATTTTTGTATGCCTGTCTGCATCTGTCGTAGGTAAATATTTCCAGGGCTACCTTTAGTAGATCGGGACTAGTTGCCTTTGTAAAACCAATTTTACCCCATCCAGTTGCCAAGGCTTTTGTTGTTCTTATTTCAGGATCGGTGTAAAGACAGGCAGGTCTGACGTATGTATTCAAAATGGCCGGCTTATCCAACTTAATTAATGCTATATCGTTGTAAGATGATGGCGGTCTATAGTTTGGGTGATAAATCTTTTCTTTTACGTTGAACAGTTGTGGTCGTGCATCATCATCAGTTCTATTAATATTTAGGTCACCTATTAGGACAAATTTGGGTTCACCGCTGAAAAATTAATAAAATTAATGTTAAAACTATACTATGAATTGTCAACAGACCTTAAATACTGTTACATGTAGGCAACCCACCATATGCGAAGAAGCATCAAGTCAGATATGGTGGATTGCCGCGATTACCCTAGAATTACAAAGAAGGGTAAATTTCTCTAGTCCAGCCCCTATCAATGGTTGTCTAGAGGTCGGAGAAAGATCAGTTCTAGTGAAAGGAGATAGAAGGTTAAATTAGAAGTGCAAAGAAGCGATTCGCGACAGCACCTGTTACTTTTTTAAAAACATATAGTGAAATTCGCTTATAGTGATTTTGCATAAAATGACATTCCGTTTATTATTAGCTAATTGCTTTTCATAAAAGAAAGTCTGATTAAATTGATTCTAGCTAATGCAATCAACCGTTTAATAATGTGACTGAGATAGATAATCAATGTCTCCCATTTTCAAATTAGGTATTTTCATCTTGCAAGAAAATTTTATTCCGTAAGGTTGCTAAAAGGACCCACCCAAATATCTGGAAGTAAATGTATACAGAATTCACAAAGGAGTTGTTGGACATAGGCGATGCTCTGGTGGTGACTTGTCAGATGTACTATGGGAAATCGTGCGTAACCGCGAGGGTTTAAGGGAAGCGGCCGGCATCTGACAGATAATCGTGTCATAAGCCCAGCAATGACATTTGTATATGATGAATCTCGATAGGCGCAGGAACGATTTACACCCTGCTTTAGAGTAACCACTCAGAATGTACCGACAACCTGATACATGTTTGGCATGTGAATGCATTAATATTGTAGCGAGCACGAGCGTGTTTGTCTGCAATCGAGCACACGTGTGTGTGAACGGCTTATTGATTCGCCGACTAGCTTTCTTCATGTGCGCCGTATTTGTGAATGTGTGTGTCGTACCGCGTTCTGGGAAAGCAGTTAAACAGTTCAAAGAAAAAAGAAACGATCCGGATGTTTCTAGAGGGTTCCAGAAAGTAAACAAAAAATTATTTAAAGGAAGAGACGATGAGACGTGAAGGCAGAATTGATGAGGAAGAATAATGCTTGGATTAGCAGAGAGTCTGAAGGATGAATGTTTGGGTTGAATACGGGAAACGGATGTCGCTTAGCAAAGGGTGGTTTAGAGAGCTGATAGCCTTTGGTGTGGCTATTAAGGTACCGCGCCCAGAGGCTTAGGTTTACTGGGTTAAGGTGTTAGTGTGGCAACAGACTCACCAACTTTGTATATATTATAAGAGTTTGAAATATTACATATGGTTTATGATATTTTGGTTAAAGAATAAATAACGAAAAAGGGAATTGTATAAAATGCTTAAAATAATTCACTATTAATAATGGTTAATAAACTTACAGTTCTTTTGAGAATAAACAATGACTAGCAGTTAGAACGAACAATTCACTAATTAAGGTTCCTCCACATTGCCACGCTTTCTCGCCATCTGCATCAAAACCAATCAGTGCCTGCAATAAAACTACAATTATTACCTATTTTATGAACCGTTTGCTACACGGGAGGTGACGTTAAGGAGTCCAGTTACACCTACATATTAGAAAAAGCTATTTTTAAACTTTGTTGAAGAGTGTGGGAAACAATTCCTGTCAGGTACAGACAACGCAGTATAAACAAGTAATATGTTGCGATGTTGATAGTACCCTATTCATTTAATTTTTTAAAGTTTCACCAAGACAAGAGACTTCATCCCGACAATTAACACTTGTCTTGTTTTGAAAATCAAGATCAAGATATTAATTTTTCTTGTCTCGAACATTTTCTTGAACATAGTTCCTTGTCTTAATACAGGGGTCTCCATATTTCTCGACGCAGATAATGTGAGTTAATCGGTGACGTAGCAATGAGTAAGTAGATATGTATTTTGGTGTGGCTATAGGCATTTAGTAACAATATTCCGCAGATAATCTTTCATTTCTCTTCGTTTTTCATTTTGGCCGTCTCAGCAATCTCACCTCAACCACCACTCACTCATTCCCACAGTTTCCAAAAAGAAAACTGAAAAAGGCTTTCCGCTCTCCCATCAGAATTAGTAACGAGTGAGAATGAAAAATTCATTGTTTTAAGTGTGGTTTTACGGACAAATCAGTTAAGCATTAACGACGTTTAAAACTGTGGGGCTATGACTTAACAATAAAATAATAGGTTCATGTATGTAGCATCGTGCTACAGATGACGTTTACTGCGCCATTTGTAGTATTTTCTAAAACGCACTGTTAAGACAGCAGGTAAAAGTTGATCTGTGTGCTGTCGGAGTTGCCTGCGACGCACTGATGAGATCCAAAAAGATCGAAATCGCGATCCGTGTCTGACAGTTTCGACAGAATACAGACCATTTCGAATTATTTTAATAGGTTCATTTATGTACATTTAATCATCGAGAACGTACCGGCACTGACAACTGAATTAATTAATATAACAGATGTAATCATTCCCGCTTCCCGTTTTTAAATTATTAATATACTTTTCGCAAGTATCCCCACAAATTCAGCCATGTGTCTTTTGTATAGATGTGAAACGTTGACGGTAATCGCAGAGGAAAAAAGTTAGAAGCGTTTGAAGTACCTATGGTGTTATAGGAGAATGTCAAAAATATTTTGGATGGAAAAGGTTAGAAATGATGAGGTATTAGAAAAATTAGAAGAATTATGGAAGTCAATAAGAAATAGATGAGACAGGTTGGTAAGACGTTTTCTCAAATATGTGTGAAGGGCTAGTGAAATATAATTGAAGCATAAACGGAGGTAGATAGAGGTAATTAGAGATGTAGATTGCTCCAACCAAATCTTCGGACTGAAATCTTTGATGATGACATAATTAGAGAGAATCAGGGCAGAACCTGATCGTTGGGTTATATGCAAGGAAGGAACGTCAAATAGCAAGGCTACCTAAACTCCTTTAATGTAGGACGTTGGCTATCTTTATTGTTGTCAAGAAGGGAAGCTGCGTGAGTGCGTGCGTGTGTTGGGTATATGCTTGCCCGCGAGGCTACAGAAAAAGGTGAATCTTAGGATTTTTCCGATTTAATTTGTTTTGGTAGCACTCACACTTTAGAATATCAAATATTCTTGTAGTGTCATATAGCAAATAAATGTGCAAAAACAGTTACTATTATACTGTGTGTCTGACAGTGTAGTGTTTAAAAGTCTGCGTAATATTACAGATCTCTCTAGAATTACCGATTTTATTTCATTATTGTCATTTTTTCCTGGATTTATTATTACTAACATAATTATTGCCATACATAGAAGTTGACCGTGTGGACCTTAAAATGTTACCACCTGGCTGTGGTTTATTAAAACATGCTAACGGTTAGAATAAGGAGATGTCTCACCATGTGCGGGAATTCTCGTGGAATTGCCTTTTCACCCCCAACAATTAATTCACCAGCTCTTGATGCGCATTTATCCACTTTTATCGGCTTGGCGTTTGGCAACAGAACAGGCGGAGGTTGCTCTTCATAAACATATTTAGAATATTCCTGGCATTCTGTCAAAAAATATTAAATTTATAGTACTTATACTTATATAGAAATGTGTATGTTTTCATCATTATTATAAGGTCGTCAATTCTAAAACTGACTGGATACGCTCCTCTACTCTTTCCTATCCTGAACCAATTTTCGCATTTTTCTAAAAATAGATCATCCCACATCCTTAACTACTATTGGTCAACAGTATTCTAATCTTTCTATGATTTATAGAATTAATTTTGCAAAATAATTGAAACTGTAAATCCTGAGCACAAACATGCATATTTCCACTAAAACAAACAAAATGTTTTTGGTCGAGAACTGATAATTTCGAAACTCGGAACAAAAGGTTAGGTTATGTTAGATTAGATTAATCTAGGAAGTACTGGAGAAAGTAAGGAAGCAGAAAGCGCTACGAATGTCAATAAAAATAGATAGGATGGAAAGATACCTTCTGAAATATAATGTTATATATTAAAAGCAGAAGCAAGAGGGAAGTCAGGAATATCGAATGATCTAGTCTTCCGGAAATGCGAAGATGAGCTCAGAATTTGAAGAGTAGAAGTGCGTGTCCAAGGAATCTTCGAACCGCAGAGAGCGCTACGAATGTCAATAAAAGTAGATAGGATGGAAAAATATATATTAAAAGCAGAAGCAAGAGGGGAATTAGGGATATCGAATGATCTAGTCTTCCGGAAATGCCAAAATGCGCCCAAAATTTTAAGGAGTCGGGGTGCGTGTCCAAATAATCTTCGAACAGATTACTTTGTTTTTTGCTTTGAAATAAATGACACTTCTGTAATAAACTGACTTGACTGGGTGGAATTAGTTTTGTGAAAAATATTTAGATTTCGGGAATTTGTAAATCTTTGGAAATGTTGCTTACTTTCGCGACTTTTTATCCCAACCACGTTTGCTTTGTTAATAACTTTTGATGTTGTGGAGGTGATTGCTCGAGGAGTGGTTGTACTAGTGGTGGTTGTTGTGGTAGTTCTAGTCTCAGTAGGAGGTGCTCTGCCTTGTGGACAACAGACAATTGGTTGAGTTCCCTGATAGCCACATTGCTGTGGATAAATTTGCCTTTGCGTAAGGTCTTCTATTGCTTTTGGACAGTCTCTTAACAAAAGACATTTTCCGTCTTGTCCATTGCTATCTAAGGTGCAAATATCATCTGGAAAGCAAATATTTTCCATAATTATAAAAGTTTAAATTAAAAGGGGGATTTATGTGCATAACAAGTAATCTTATGTAACTCGAACTAGCAATGTGCTAGATAACAATAAAATTTCCCTGAATTCGTTCACTCACTGCAGTAACAATACTTAGTCACTTGATTCATCAAAATTGGGTACCTAGGTGTATCTTTAAATTAGTTGGGTTAACACTTATTCCAGTTGCCTGCTTCCTACTACCTTCCTATTTCCTACTTCGTTAAAAAAGCTAGTACACAGTAAGTAAGCTAAGAATTCACCTTGCGTCAGTTAATTACAGTTTAATGGTTACACTTTAAGAAAGGTATCATTTACAATATATCATATACATATATATTAACTGAAGTCATCCAATTTGTTGGTGGTGTATAACCAGAGATGTAATTTATTTGAAATGTATTTAAAATACAAATACAAAATAAAAAATATCTATTTTTATCTTCCATTTAAATACTTTTTGTTTAGTTTTGCTAATAGTTTCATCGATCATCATCATCATCATCATCATAAGGTCATCAGTCTTAAAACTGGTTGGACACGTACCTCCACTCTTTCCTATCCTGAGCTAAACTTCGCATTTCCCTAAAACTAGAACAGCTCACATCCTTAACTATTTGCGAANTTTCTATTTGTAAAAATTTTTTTTCTATTAAAAAAATTTTTGCCTTTATAAGCTTTGCTTTTCTATTTGTAAAAATTTTTTTTCTATTAAAAAAATTTTTGCCTTTATAAGCTTTGCTAGTGTCACCGAACAAACATTATATAAAGTGATGACTGAAAGTTGCTCACATTGGCTATTGAAGGTATTAGAAGCTTAAAAATTGGATAAAGAGTCATTCCATGAATGCCTTTTGATTCTTTAACTGAAGAAAGCGCAAAAATCTAAACTCTTTGGAAATGGGTATTCTAAAATATTAGATCGATATTCTTTTCTATATTCTATTCTTTTCAATGTCCTGGTCCATAGAATTTTGAAGTTCCAAATTGATATGAATTACGACAAAACAGCCCGGAATTGAAATTGATATCCGTCACCTAAGTAAAATTGAAAACGACAAGATATTGTGGTGCGCTAATAAATGCGTATAATCCAAAATTCTTAGAAAACGATTCGAAAAACTCTACTTATTAGATGAACCCAAAGCTAAAGAAACTATGGATTCCATTTTTTCTCTTATTACAACGTGTAAAAGATCAGAAACAAAATAGNACTCTAGGTATAACACTTATATTTCAATTTCTTTCTATTCGGATATCGGAAATAAACTTATTTTCAATCTTTCAATTAGACGTTTTAATAGCTAGATAATCCAGAATATGATATTAGGAGAGATTAAAACTGGAATCTTTTGAAATTGTCAGTTTGGGAGTCACTAAACAGTTTTTGATTAGTGTAGAAAGTTTTATAAAATTAGTTTTATTGTAATACGAATCCGGAAAATCAATTGCGGGGTCAAAAAGGACACGTTATAGATATTTTCTTGTCAGTTTGTACATGTTTTCTCTCTGAAATTTGTTTCTATTTAAGCCATGTAGGTACCTATTGGAAGATGTGCTTAGCATACATGCGTATATAAGATAAATTTATATTGTTGTTTACGATTATTTATTTGTGTATAAGCAAGTTGTTAAACCTTTACAGCTGATGGCATTGAAAATGAATACATATTGCATGTATTAGGTGCTGTTGTTTCCTAGAAAGAATTATCTTTAATTAATTATGTATTTTGTACAATACTGGTTGTACCAGAGCCTTCATTCACGTAGATTTTTGGATTTGTTTAAGCTGAGACATTAATATCTATTTTTATAACATCGGGACTGTTTCAGATACAACGATGAAACAAAAACTATGGGTTGTTGTTCGTCTGTTAGTCTGTCTATCTATCCGTCAAGATCTTTTATTCTCAGGATCGAGTGGAGATTTGAAGTTGAAATTAATTTTAAATACTGAGGTGTACAATCCCTTGGAGCTGTGAAAAAAATCCACCTTCCAAATCAACACAGTCAAAGAGACGATCGTTTATGTCAAATATTTTAACACTCGCAAAGGGAATCAAAATCTATTGGGTATTTCCCGTTGATCTAGTCATGACTTTTCAGGCTTTACATAAAGTATTTCTGGAATAAATGGTTAAAAAAAAAGTACTGGGCATAAAAATAAAGTATTTTATTTTTTGTTTTTAAGAACATATTTTTCGTTACACCTAGCAGCCAGTAACAAATTGCTGTCGCTCTTAAATACATTAATAGCCTCTAAACATGGCAAACAAACATTTAAGTAAACTAAAAGTTCATTTTTAATTAGTTTTAATAAAGCTTTATTCCTATCGTCCCACCACTTTGCGTTCATAACAGACAATACTCTTTCTGTAAATGCTGAAGTGGCCGGAACGGACAGCAAAAGTGACACTACTTTGAACAGATTTGGGAAATCAGGTTGTTCCGTAAATATGGCTTGCCATTTTTCTGTGCAATATTATTGATGTAAAAATACTCTGAATTTCGAATAATCGCTTACAAAATTACGATGTTTACTTAAGGCCTTAAATAAAGTATTTTTGCGTACTTTATGTGTCTTGTAAAGTATAACGTACGCACAGTCGAAATAGAGTACAGTACTTTATAATAAAGTACGGGTGGCAACCCTAGTCATGACAGTGGCTAGAAGCGTTGTCTTATAGCACAAGTAAAATAAAATTTTAGTTACATCAAATAATGAATAAATCTTTTTAATAAATATTGTAATTATACGTTTTAGGAACTAATTTTAGGAGGAAGCCGAAAACTTAGTCAGAAAAGGCGGATGAAATATTTACATACCTACAATTTCGTACGGAACCTTCGGTAAGCAAGTCCGACTCGTTCTTGACCGATTTTTTTAAATTATAAAATAACAAACATAGGCACAAACACATTATTGTCCATTTCACATGGTTTATTACTGAATATGACTGTTTCATTAAAGGGTCATTTTACATATACCTAAAATGTTAATTTTTGGTTTGTTATTAACTGAAAAAGGACTTTTTAGCCTTCTAATAAGTTTATTGTTAATATGATGTGTAACTAATTTACAGTTAGGGATCGAGTAGAATTTATTGAGTGTTGTTTGGTGTTTGTTTGATTTAAATTTAAAAAGGTTTGTACATATTAAAGTATTAACAACAATTCGAAAAATCGTTATCGGTTACAAAAATTTCGATTGACCGAAGCTCTTTTTTCATTGCATATTAATACACAATTATAACAGTAATAATAAATAATTAATTACTTACCTATATAACCGGAGTGACTTGGTATTATTAGCACCACAATGACTATCAGAAAGTATGAAAGTGCGTTAATAAACATATTCGATTACTTGTTGAGCACTTAATGAACCTGTTAATTCGCCGTACATGTACACAACATTGTAGCCCGATCACAGAAAAACGAAGGAAACGAATGGTCTCAGAACTGGTTGCATCAACATGATAATATTATGTTGAAAGTTAATGAATTGTATATTGCACCCATTGGTTGTTTCATATTCACATACAATGTGTCACAAATGCAAACAATTGGTTAGTAAGTTACTGCAAAAATGTACAAAAAACTAAAAATTCCGGAACAGTTACGATATCATTTACTTGTTGATCTATCAAAATATAAAGACTGTCTCAATGTGTATAATAATCTAAAAAAATTAAAATCCACATCGAAACTTCGGACCCCTAATACCTAAAGTAAAAATTCTTTACTTTAGGGATCACACCTTAAATTCTCTTGAAATTTTAGTATGTTATAGGTACATTTCAGTGCGTCGATAAAGAATATATAAAATAGGAATGTAGGGATTCTTTTCTGATGTAGCCCAAGATCCCAGAGCCGTTAGGCATTACTTATAGAAAAATGGTTGGAATAGAGTAGTGTTAGTATATACTTCGAACGTAGGCATACTCGCTAACTTGGACCGATAGCCAAGTCTGAGTGCTGATTTTTACATAATGTTTCACAGAATATTCCTAAACATTAATAATATAATCAATACTGTCAGACACTTCCCGTTAGCGGTAATTTCTGCCAGACGCTTCAAAGTTAGCAAAAAAAAATTGTAACTTTACCTACTGCTATAGTCTGAGTTTTCATTTTTAAATGTGATACTAAGGAAGCTATTTTAATACTTTTCGTATGCATAAAAGCTTTGTTCGGTAAGTTAGATTTAGGGTGAGTTAGGAAGATAGGTAAGAAAAGATAACTCTTACAATGTGAGTGCTGTCGTTGTATGTTTTGTGAGTGTAACGTTTGGAGTGCGGCGCTGTACGGGTGCGAAACATGGATGGTGTGCGCTGCGGAAAAGTAAAGGCTGGAAGCGTTCGAAATGTGTTGATATAGGCGAATGATAAGGACACCGTGGATAGAGAAGGTTAGAAATGAAGAGATATTAGAAGAATAGGAAAACAGAGGACTCTATGAAAATCAATAAGAAGGTTGGTAGGAAATCTTCTCAGGCATGAAGATCTAGTCAGAGACATATTAGAGGCAGAAATGGAGTAAGAAGGGATAAAGGACCTAGATTAGATTAGTGTTGGCAAACAGTTAAAGATGTGGGTGCGTGTCCATCCACACGGCTGAAGAGGACCCTAGTTGGTCCTAAAACGACCTGAGGTAGAGGGGTTTTAGTCGGTAGGTCCGAGGACTTCTTCCTCGGGAATCCGACACTACCCAGTCGTACGGACGGCTGGGTGTCTTCTGAAGATTTCCCCTCTTCCACGAAAACATAAAAAAAAAAAAAGTCCAACCACACCGAGCGGCATGGCCTAGAGGTTTAGACTATTCCTTAGCATTCGGGAGGACGCCGGTTCGATTCTGGGTCCGTCTGCCTTGGTCCAAGTTTTTCTGTGGTTTTCTTGGATCACTTAGGCAAATGCTGAGGCAGTAATATTCCACAGATAATCTTTCATTCTCTTCTTTCTTCATTTCGTCCGTCTCTCCCGAACCACCACCCACCCATTACCACGATTCCTGAAAGCAGGCTGAAGAGGGCCTTCCGCCCAATCTTCCAGCGTAGTCCGGAGGGACTGCCCGCCCACCAGCATTACTGGCTGGTGGGAATGAAACACCCAAAAGTTTAAAGTTTTTTTGTCTTAGGACTGACGACCGTATGATGAGGATGATGATCTTCATTACTTTATGATTCTAAAAAATCCATCAAGAAAGTAATTGGTAAAAATAAACAAACAAATTAAAAATAAATATCACATCGACAATGCTAACTCGAATACAAGTCGATCATCCATACATACAACTCGGCCAGCGTTGCTTTGAGTAAGCTATTTTTAGAGACGAGGACCGCATTGTCATGGTAAGACTTCAAAAATATCCTCACGTTATCAATATTAAAATCTTATAACCAATCAAATGAATAATGTATCAATCTGTCTTTTGAATAAAGCAGATAAATCCTGACCTTCTACGTTTAGTTGTACGAATTGACAAATAAAATTAGAGGTGACAACTTATGTAACCAATCGCGTAGCAGTATCTACAACTGGCTCTGTAACGCTGAGGCAAAAATAGTACGCAAACGGTGCACGCCTCTCATCATATGTGAGTGTGTTTGCTAGTAAATTAAATAATACATCAACTTCTTCGTCTGATGAGGTCATAAGAAATGGTCGACGAAACGTTGGAAAAAAATATTGTAAAAACAACATCTTCTACAGTTTTATTCCTATAGGTAATATTAGTCATGTGCGATCAATTAGGTACATATTATTGAATAATATTTGGAGCTATATCTAAAATATTACAAATCACTTATGTTGTACGAGTGTAACCAGTAATTGCATCTTTTTAACGATCAAAGTAGGTATTAATGTGTTTTGAAAAAAGAAACCGACAAATATGTAAATATCTAGTGATAACCTTTCATAGCTCTGATCGCTATTTAATTCGGAATTTCCACTTGCATAAGCGTAATTATTAAATACATGCGTATTATATATGTATGATTTCGTACAAAACAGAATATAGAATAAAATAGCTGTAGGTATTAAAACATTGGACGTAGACAGTAAGTGGTGCAGTGCATTTAACATTTTAAATTTTTACATTACATTTTTCTTGCTTTTTAGCTTTTTTTTTCTTCCGTAATATTTCACTCATTCTTTTTAGATTAAATTTTTTTTAATTTGAATTTTCTACTTTTTGATATATTCTACCATAATGGGGGTAATGGGGGGGGGGTTTAAACAGAAACCAGACTAAGACAAGTAGCTTCAGTACTCAGGGTACTGCGATTTGGAAGGCAACGGGAAACATTATGATCCCGAGTAAAACGTATCACACAATTAAATAATGGCGTCCTCTGGGGTAAATCACTCCGGACATAAACTAATCCCCCGTTCAGATGCCTGGGCAATAGGGGTAGGTACAATATTTCACGAGTCAGAGCGTGGAATGTTAGAACAAAGAGGAAAGTAGGGAAATTAGAAAATTTAAAAGTAGAGATGAAAGATTNAAATTAAATAATACATCAACTTCTTCGTCTGATGAGGTCATAAGAAATGGTCGACGAAACGTTGGAAAAAAATATTGTAAAAACAACATCTTCTACAGTTTTATTCCTATAGGTAATATTAGTCATGTGCGATCAATTAGGTACATATTATTGAATAATATTTGGAGCTATATCTAAAATATTACAAATCACTTATGTTGTACGAGTGTAACCAGTAATTGCATCTTTTTAACGATCAAAGTAGGTATTAATGTGTTTTGAAAAAAGAAACCGACAAATATGTAAATATCTAGTGATAACCTTTCATAGCTCTGATCGCTATTTAATTCGGAATTTCCACTTGCATAAGCGTAATTATTAAATACATGCGTATTATATATGTATGATTTCGTACAAAACAGAATATAGAATAAAATAGCTGTAGGTATTAAAACATTGGACGTAGACAGTAAGTGGTGCAGTGCATTTAACATTTTAAATTTTTACATTACATTTTTCTTGCTTTTTAGCTTTTTTTTTCTTCCGTAATATTTCACTCATTCTTTTTAGATTAAATTTTTTTTAATTTGAATTTTCTACTTTTTGATATATTCTACCATAATGGGGGTAATGGGGGGGGGGTTTAAACAGAAACCAGACTAAGACAAGTAGCTTCAGTACTCAGGGTACTGCGATTTGGAAGGCAACGGGAAACATTATGATCCCGAGTAAAACGTATCACACAATTAAATAATGGCGTCCTCTGGGGTAAATCACTCCGGACATAAACTAATCCCCCGTTCAGATGCCTGGGCAATAGGGGTAGGTACAATATTTCACGAGTCAGAGCGTGGAATGTTAGAACAAAGAGGAAAGTAGGGAAATTAGAAAATTTAAAAGTAGAGATGAAAGATTAGTATGCTTAGATTTTCAGAGGATATAGTAGTATTAGCATTTAGCAAGGAGGAGTTAAAGACAGCTTTAAAAAAAATAGAAGCGGTATTGACAAAACAGTACCTACTGTATGAAAATAAATAAAAGTACAACAAAAATACTGGTATACAAGGGAAGGAAATGTAGGGAAAGAGCGAATATAAAGGTAGGAGACGAAAAATTAGAAAAAGTGACCGATTACTACTATTGATTAATATTTACTTCAAAATTTCCAATAGCACAATTGTACTTAATGAAAACATATTTATGGTTTTGTACAAGTATTTTTTTTAAGAAATCTTTTCGTATGCATAAAAGCTTTGTTCGGTAAGTTAGATTTAGGGTGAGTTAGGAAGATAGGTAAGAAAAGATAACTCTTACAATGTGAGTGCTGTCGTTGTATGTTTTGTGAGTGTAACGTTTGGAGTGCGGCGCTGTACGGGTGCGAAACATGGATGGNTTAATATTTACTTCAAAATTTCCAATAGCACAATTGTACTTAATGAAAACATATTTATGGTTTTGTACAAGTATTTTTTTTAAGAAATATTGAGATTTCGATAAGTTTTTAATTTATAGAATAGCTTTAAAATAAACGGTTGTTAAGGATATCTGTGTTTATTTTGTAATTACATATTTTTGTGAATATAAAAGAACCCATAGTTACATTACTATAAATGGTTCAGTTTTCCTCGTTCAAGGCCATACCATATTTTCTATCCATCCCAAATAATCAGCTGCCTTCGTATAAATAGACGGTGCATTGGGAAAACCGCAGAATTTTCCGACTGAGGTAATTCCAATGATGTTGTACATGCAGTATGGCTGTTTGAGAACGGTCTGAAGAGGACCGCCCGAGTCTCCTTGACAAGTGTCTTTACCGCCAGTCAATACGCCAGCACACAACATAGACTTTTCTAAACCGTTTATCATTACAGCGGTAGATTTCTTGTAAAATTGCTGTTTGCATTTTTCGTAAGGAATAATGTTCAGTTGCACTTTCATGAGCTGTTTACTTCCTTCAGGTGCACCTGAAATAAAAAACAATAAAAATGAAGTACTGGTATTTATGTTTCGTAATTCGGTAAGGCTAGTTGTATGAATATTAAACGTCAACTTTTTTCCAGAAATGAAGGAACTAAGTAAAAAGATCCCAAAAAATAATTTTATAAATTTCTATGTGACATTATCTTCATAATGTGGAACTAATTATAAAAAACCCAAAAGCTTTTTATTTTATGATACGCACTTATTTTCAGAGAATCCCCAGAAATTAAGAAGAGATCAAACGATCTGAAATATGTTTCTTATTCTTATTTTATCTTAAAACTTTTTCAATTTTCACAGTAAATATCTTCAGAAATATTGCTGCACAATAAAAAGAGTAAACGGAGATAAAAAATCATACTTTCTTAATTTTTACACGATATTTGCTATTTAAATTCTAAAACGTGCAGGACATAAGGTTAGAGATTGTATGTTTAAGCAGGTTAGCCACATTTATGAGACAGGGAAGGTCCCAGAGGATTGAAAACGAAACGTGGTAGTAACCATACCTAAAAAGAGAGGCGCGGATATGTGCGAGACATTTAGAACAATTAGGTTAACTTCCCGTGCATCAAAAATATAACTAGAACTGTACAAAGGAGGATGGAAAAAACAGCAATAGAACTGCTAGAGGAAGATAAATTTGGGTTTAGAGGAAATAGAGGAACGCGGGAGGCCAAACTAGCTTTACGAGTAGCAATAGAGAAAACGATAGAAAAAAGAGTGCGTACATAGGATTTGTAGATTTAGAGAAAGCTTTTGACAATGTTATATGGGACAAGATGATAAATATACTTAAAAATGTAGGGATGAGTTGCAAAGATTTTACTTAATTTGTATAAAGAACAACAGGCAGTTATAGAGCTGGGGATGCAACGTAGACAAGTAAATATTAGGAAGGGAATCACCGCTACTTTTTAATCTATACGTCGAAGAAGCCATCAACATCATTAAAGACAGTACAACTGTAGGGATAGATGTGCAATGGGCAAAATATTAGTATGTTTAGATTTGCAGATGATATAGCAGTATTAGCATCTAGCAAGGAGGACTTAGAGATAGCTTTAAATAAAATGGAAGCGGTACTGACAGATCAGTACTGTCTGAAAATAAATAAAAGTAAAACTAAAATACTGGTATGCAAGGGAGGAAAAAATAGGGAAAGAGCGAATATAAAGATAGGAGACGAAAAATTAGAAGTGGCTGATTTTAGATACCTAGGAAGTCAGGATGGAAGGAGTAGTAGGGATATAAAGCAGAGGATAGGGCAGGGTCGTGTCGCCTTTAATAAGTCACTTCAATACTCGCGAATGGTTAAATTAGAAATTCGAAAAATATTGTTAAAGATGTATGTTTGGAACGCTGCGCTGTACAGGTATGAAACATGGATTATGAGCACTGCGGAAAAGAATAGGTTAGGTTAGCATTCGAAATGTGGTGTTACAGGCGAATAATGAGTATTCCGTGGATAGAGAAAGATAAAAATGAAGAAGTATTAGAAGGAATGAACAAAGGAGTTCAATAAGAAATAGGCGAGATAGGTTGGTAGGACACCTTTTCAGATATGAAGGTCTAGTCAGACGCATATTAAAGGTAGAAAGAGGAGATAAGAGAAAGAGAGGTACACCTAGATTATATTACTATTCGTAAATAGTTAAGGATGTGGGTTGTTCTAGTTTTAAGGAAATGCGAAGATTAGCTCAGGATAGGAACGAGTGGAGGTGTGTGTCAGGTCTTAGGATAGACGACCTTATGATAATGACCGGGTGTCTGACGGTGACTTCCTATTAAATATTTCGGAAACTACTTCGACTTAAATTTTAAGGCGTTATTGGGAATGCTCTCCTCAATTAAAATAACGGCATCTAAGTAGCACTTCCGCTTATATCGTAAGTTGACATCAATTTCGTTACTTTAGATGGAACACCCTATTACTATTGTTTTGAATTCTACTTATGATTTTGGATGCTTTTCTATTTCTAAAGTATACCGTTTTCGTGATATTTCGCAAAAAATATTTTATAGTAGGAATAAAAACAATATTCGCAGGTAAGATAGCTATGCCCTCAAGCTTCCCGCCCATACATTAAAAAGTGGGTTAACTAAATATTTAATGGCCGATTTGGGTAACTAAACAAACAATACTGAGTTCATTTTTTCAAGTGGAACACCCTATATGTATTGTCATAGTCTTTTAAACTTTTAAAATTTAAACCGATGCAATCTCCGAAATATTTTAATGGGTAGTCATCGTAAAACACCCTGTGTATAGATATCTTCAGCAAAACTCGCATAAGTGAAAAGATAGTTAGTTATGAAGATCCCAAAAAATATCTTTTTACATTCTGTACCTATATGAGAGATATTTCCGAAAATATGCCTTTACAATCGCTAACTATCTCCCCACCTTACCATTAAAGAGATAGTTACAATACATATAAGATCAAAGGTTTAATTTAAATTTTACAGAAACTCAAAGAAGACATTTTAAATGTGTTGATTGTTTAGAAATATGCGACTTCCAGTTGCCAGAATGTTTTAATATTGAGGTTACTGAAATGAAAATTGATAAACCCATACCTATTGAGGGTTTTATATTAACTGCATTAAGTAAGTAATAAGGTTGCTTACTGTACGATTCTTTACCAAATCCGGTAGCACTGACAACATCGTTAACATCATTTGACCTAGCGATACAAGCCGGTCGCACGTATTTTGTAAAAAGTACAGGACTATCCAATTGTAACAATGCTATATCATTATATTTTGACGGTGGGTTATATAATGGGTGAGCAATTCTTTGGACGATGTCTTTCATTTGAGAACCTTCACCCATTGCAGACAGGTCTATTGTTCCAAGTAATACTTTGGTAGCAGAAACACTGCAATATAACGAAACACAGAATAATCGCAAAATAACAGAACCCGTTGCTTCTAACATTTACTATACTTTCAGATATTATTTATTAAACTCGATGTTATCTAGTACTAGCTTTTTCTGGTTATCAATTGCGTGACGATGGGAACAAACAGGTTATAAATTGCGTTCCATGTTTCACATACTAGATAATGTGTTGAGTAAAAGTTCATTGTTTATAACTACATCGTATTTAATCTTGTTGGAGAATGATATTCCGCCAAGTAGTAGTTTCACCAAAATGAAAAGGTAAGACACCATAAGCAATTCTGGTTAGCCGAAGGTTTGAAGTCGATGACCCACTAAGTGTATTGGAATATTTTGTGTAAAGTTGGAAAACTAAACTTTCAGTCTACATTTATGTAAATATATCATGTAGATTAAGTTATTAACATCACTATTTTGAGAAAATGCAATATTAAAATATTATTGGACTGAATCATGTGCACCCCTACTGAGTGGATGATGTTGAAATATAGTTTCCATGCTCATTACAGTGTGTTTCCTCGATGAAACCAAAAAATTTTTCATTAAAGGTGGTGTTGGTACAAAACTAGCCTCATATTAATATAAACCTGCTCTGACACTTTGGTTAAAAAGTATTGATGGAACCGCAGTCATCCAGGTCATACTTCCATGATGTAAGTAATGCTATAGAAAGTTTTCCAACTTTACACAAAATTGCACGTATTAGTTTTCAATAATTTTTGTTGTACGTACATCACCATGGGCCTTTGATTGCGGCTACTTCGAACCTTCGTCGAGCTTCAGTTGCTTATGGCGTCTTACCCTTTCTAATAGTTGAATAAAGTCGAGTACCTGGGCGAACCACTTACTTATCAGGCGAGATTAAGCAGTGGGCAGCTGTTAGTACAAAATTTTCACTTATCAGTGACCCACCACACAGCCATTTTATTGATCCTTGATTTTCATAGCCGATCGAAGCCTGCCAAAAAATAAGGATGAAATGAAATTCAGGATTCTGAGACTGTCTGTTTACCTATTTGTTTTTTTTTTTTAATACACGGGACATATTCAGAGCTTTTTCGTTTATGCATTTACGTACAAAAAGCAGTGAAGATGCCCGGTATTATCCGGAACGATACGTTGACATTAAATGAATGGACGTGGTACAAATCCAGAATCCTGAACACCCGCAGGAGCCTAAAAATCTTATCGCATGTCTACAAAGTAGTACAGCTAATCTTCTCAGCTGTTCCTTAATTCGGAACAATGTTGATGATTGAAAAAGAAAGAAAAGCAATATCGTAGTGATTTCCAACATAGTTTCGTATACTTCCGAGGTTGATTGAACGGTAAAATTCAGAATTCTGGGTATACACCGCATCGAAATGTCTGCTGTCGATGTATCGTTTGACGTAGTACAATTATGAACAGCTCCAACGTTATTTGCTAATATTAAGTTCAAATCTGACACCAAAATAACCCCACCAAGATATAATAACTCCAAATTATTGTATGAAGTAAAAGGGCAAAACATCCAAGGTAACGATTATTTCCTAGATACGTCTTGTAGTAGGTATCTACCTATATCATAAAACTGCCTAATGCACTAACATTTTGAATTATTTCCATTTCAAAGTCCTCAAATAATGCCAATTTGACTTGTTTGGTTTTGAAATGAGAGTAACTAGAAGTTTCAATATATTATTGCAATTCTCGGGCTACATACGTTCGGAGTCTCTTGAGAAAAGTACTTCACTGGTTATTCTCCATTTTGTTTTTTCTTTTAATCCACCACGGTGACATTTTTGAAAAAGACTACGAAAGTATTTTGGAACAAGAGAACAGTGAACTAGTGGATTGAAAAGAATAACTAGAAAAGAAGATTATCATTTCTGGGTGTTTTTGGATCTAGAAGTCTCATAACATATTGAAATTTTGAAATATCCTATTCCTAAAACCAAACAAGCCAAATTATCATAAAAGTGATTTTGAGGTTATCTTGAGATTCCAGACCAATTATGAAGCAAAATTGCGTTACGATTTAGGATGAATATTATATTAGATTTAGAAAATAACTAATTAATAGTAGGAATAAAAACAAT